GGGCAATGTCCGTGTGACACCAGCCGCGGCATCTGCCTTGGCTACAGGAAACGGCGAAAAGATCGGAGTGTTTGTACCATCCTTCGCCGGTGCGGCGGTCTAAATGGAAAGATGGTAAGCGGCATTTTCTTCCAAAAAGTGGATTTAGGCCCCGAACTTCATACCTTTTTAGAGTCCTTCACGCGGCCCTCACCCTCAAGATTTGCAATATCTGTGTTTGTGTCTGGGTCGGTGTTTTGATGTTCCTGTTTACAGCACTGGATGGCGCTAGCAACGTGTGTGTATGTGGGAGTATGGCGGAGGCTTACTCTCGGCTGTATTCATGATTGTAGTTTTGTTCTCGAAAAGTCAAAGTTCATAAGTTATCGAGGTCCTGGCAGATATTAGCGAGACATTTCTCGCAAAAACCGACTTTATATATGCAAGTATAGGTTGCGCCTATGTCTCGGATACTCGTTAAAGCACTTCAGTTGGTGCTTGCCGCTGTGTGTCAAAGAATTCCATTCTTCACCGGCGTTTGTAGATTCCCTGTTCTGCGAACAGGGTCCGTCATCCCGCGCGCGCGTAGAGGCTCTTTGTTAAATCAACACATTAAGTAAGGACAAATCCCTTGGAAATAAAACTATTGGGTTCACTGACACGTGCAACTGGACTTACTAATGATTGGTTTTGGGGAAAGAGAGTATGAGATATTGTCAGAGTGTGCTAGCCAATTTACTCGAAAATAAAAAGATGTTATTGGCCCGCCCCCCAAACCCCTACTAATACAGTTCCTACCCTTCCTAACCTTTCCCAAGCTCAAGTCAGATCTATAGATTACCACATATATCCTTCTCTTAACTCTCCGGTGATTTGTACGTTTTCATCTGTTCCAGTAATGAAATTCTCCGTGCCTCATCAGGTAGAGAAATTGGCAGCAGCTCGTTCATAGAAAGAGTCAGAAATAGAAACGTCGTCCTCGGCAACATCGCCCTCGCCGTCGTCTTCAACCTCAGCCTCCAAACTAGAGGTGGGTGTATTCTTAGGGGCACCCAGGGGCATCTTTCTCATCTGCCGACGTTCTTCACGCCGTCTCTTCCTCATTTCTTCCTTAAACCGCTTGACCAGCGGGTGATTCTTCTTGTGGTCCTTCAAATCCAGAAGGCTAGCCAGCCAATGGACATCCAGATTCTGGAACAAGACCCTCAGAACGCTCTTGCGAGCCTCACGAGTCTCCGGGCTTATACACGGGCACGCAGCCTTGTGGCAGTGGCGGACCAGCTTATCGAGAACGGCATCTTCTGTGTGAGGGTTATTGCGGATCTCTTTGGCAGCTTTCTTGTAGACGTCCAAGTCATTCAAGGTATCGAAGAGCCAGCTGTGGAACATCTGGGTTTCTGGATCCACGAGGAGGGCCGAGAGTTTTGTCTTGGTGGCTTGCGCAAGCTCCCACACCGAGAGGTTCTGCCAGTCAAGTGAGTTACCCATGGTTGGTACTTAGTAGCGGATAATAGTCGTATGGCATAAGCTGGTGTTTAAGAAGTGTGTTCCCAGCAGTGTATTTCGAAGGCGTGTATTGAACTACCCTGGTTCCGGAGTCGAGGAAGACGGGGCAGATTATTATACTTCGTGAATCATGGCCACCTACCTCTATGCTAGGTCGTTTAACAACACAACGACGCCATTCAAATAGTCTACTTGTTGAGATCTTGTCAAAGAGCATTGTTCTGTCGACAGTGATGCCACCTCTGCACCGTGAACAGGGCAACGCCATCTCGACTCTCGCAAAGAACTTCTTTGTAAAGCCAACAATGGACTTGTTGTCAAGTCGTCCTGAATGACCGCCCTCGCCCGTTTGTCGTACACACCACCTAGTCCACTAACAATGGCCCAAGAACTTTCGTAGAGGTAACAAGCCATTAGTGACGACTCATACAACTGTGCTCTCGGGGATTACTCACCAGGACGGACCTCGAGATCAACATCCTCCTGTTCCGTGAACGTTGAACAACCTCACCGAGCATCACCACCAACATCCTTCACGACCACACCGTCAGCCATCC